GCTATTTATGGCAAAGTTAATAAAGATCTCGCATAGTAGCACTTTTAATGTTCTACTTACCGGAACATATATATTTTAGGCTTTTTTGGAATGTCACGGATATGGGACGGTTAAAATCTTGCATTTATAAAAAATATGCAGATGGGGAAGCTGGTGCGACTACTTCGAGGCATTTGGGTAAAAGCTGAGACCGGAGAGTGGGATTTTAAGTACGACCCATCGGATCGAGGGTTCAGAGTGATGGTACGGAAAAACGAGACGTTTACGTCATTGATGGGAGTGGTTCGAACTAGGTACCTGTTGGTTGAGACAACTCCTATTGTTCTCACATACCAGTGCGCAGACTGGATGCTTGTTCCAGACGAGAGGAAAACACCTCTGGTTAACATCTTGACGGACTCTGATGGGCTCTACTATATGGCAGCCCGAAATACCTATCCACAACTACCGATCTACGCAACAGTTGGACCTGAGGCTGTTGCAAGCTACCAATACCAGTGTAGGGCTCCGTTTATTGTAAACGGAAGGTCTTATGTGGTCCCCGGAGCAAACCAAGGCGTAGAGGAAACAACACCGGAATATGACGGTAATTGTTGTAACAATTACTAAAAATTTGTAAACTAGGTTTCCAAATAACAGCTAACATTTCACTTAACCGGAACGTTTTGCTTGCTACTTTCAGCACTGACTACAGGACCAACGCTGGTTGGAACTCGAGGCGCTTTAGAAGAGATCTTTACGGAGGCAGAAATGCTTATCCTCCACAGGGTGCACATGGAGATGACCAGATCTCATCCAAATACAAATTTGATCGATAACTTGACATCAGATATGGTTATTGATGAAACACTCTCAAGAAACGAGGTCATTGACGTGGATGATGGTCTCTTCTCAGCCTCAACAGTTCATGGCGGAGGAAACAACACAAACTCTTCTCGGCCTCAGCAGTTCCAATGTAAGCTATAATGAAACCTAATCTATAGCAGCTAACATAAATATTAACTTTTGTTTTGTAAACTTTTGGATTTAATTGACAGCAACTCAAGAGGACTGTCCACTCAGTCAACAATGCCACGAGTTCGGAGATGTTGGGCTTGGCCTTCTAGGGAGTGCTGCCATAAACTGAAACAAACCAGTCTGAACCAAACCAATCTGAACCACAACAAATCTACTAACCGACTGCAGATGTCGTAATCCTCATTGATGATGAATCCTCAACAAGAGACTCCTCGAACGATATGTGTATCCTTCTCGATGTGGAGAAGGAACATGATCTAGCTTTGGCCGATACCCAAGGTAATAATGAGTCCATATTCATATACATCCATATAAAACTTCTACTAAATCTGTTCATAATGTTGGACAAGTGCTGCTTCTCCTAAGGAGCTGTTTGGTGGAGGACTGATCAACTCACCACCACCGGAACCTCAATTTGGGCCTTACCTTGGTTTAACCTTAACTTGTGGTGGGCCAAATGAGGGGTCACACGAAGACGGTGATGCTGAGTCAGACAACATCTCTGGAGGTGAAAGTGAGGATCTGGGTGGGTTGTTGCCCTAAACACTTTTAAAACTAAGTTTATTTCTCTTATTTCTATAATGTGTAATCGGATATGTAGCCTTGTTTTTGTACTGTCATAAGCGCTACTATAATTTAGTTTCGGCTATTGGCTTTATCAAACGTCCAATTTTTTTTGTAACTGCTAAAACTGTTCGTTGCTCTTGTAACAGCTAAGAAAGATGTTAACCGTTTTTATATGTAAAATATGGTTATGTTAAGAAATGTTTCCACTTTATTATTGCATGCAAAATAATCCCTTGTAGTAAGAAACAACATATTAAACCGCGCTAATATTGAAATTTATCAAATGTAGGCAATGAGGCGGAGCATGAAAATGTGATTTACATAGGAATGAATTTCCCAAATAGTGCAGCTTTTAAACTCCATATGGCTTTTTACACGATAGACAACAAATTTGAATTTCGTATCCCAAAATTAGCCCCATCATTGATGCTACTCGAATGTTGCGGCAAAGGATGTCCGTGGTGGGTTTACGCAGTCCGCTTAGACAACTCAGAGATGTTTGAGGTGCGCAAAGTTATGGTCAC